AAAGAATTAACATTGTTAAAATGTCCATACTACCCAAAGTAATATATAGATTCAATACAATCTGTATCAAAATACCAATGGCATTTTTCACAGAACTAGAACAGATAATCTTAAAATTTATATGGAACCAGAAAAGACCCCCAATAGCCACATCAACCTTGAGAAAGAAGAACAAAGTTGGAGGTATCATGCTATCTGATATCAAACTATACTACAAGGCCATAATCAAACTATAATCTTTAAACTATAAACTATAATCAAAACAGTATGGTACTGGCATAAACACAGACACATAGATGAATGGAACAGAACAGAGACCCCAGAAATAAACCCATGCCTATATGGTTATTTAATCTATGACAATGGAGGCAAGAGCATAAAATGGAATAAAGACAATCTATTCAATAAATGGTGTTGGGAAAACTGGACAAATACAGGTAAAATAATGAAACTGAACCACCTTCTTATACCACATACAAGAATAAATTCAAAATGAATTAAAGACTTAAATGTAAGAACCGAAAGCATAAAACACCTAGAGGAAAACAGGCAATTAACTCTCTGACATTGCTCTTAGTGATATTATTTTCTGATCTATCTCCTCGGGTAAGGGACACAAAAGAAAAAATAAACAGATGGGACTACATCAAACTAAAAAGCTTTTGCACAGCAAAGGAAACCATCAACAAAATGAAAAGACAGCCTACTGATTGGGAAAAGATATTTGCCAATGATACATCTGATAAGGGGTTAATATCCAAAATTTACAAAAAACTCATACAACTCAACACCAAAAAATCAAACAATCCAATTAAAAAATGGTCAGAGGACCTAAATAGACATTTCTCCAAAGAAGACATACACATGGCCAATAGACATATGAAAAGATGCTCAACGTCACTAATCATCAGAGAAATGCAAATTAAAACCACAATATCACCTCACACCTGTGAGAATGGCTATCATCAATAAATCAACCATAAGTGTTGGCAAGGATGCAGAGAAAAGGGAAACCTTGTGCACTGTTGGTGGGATTGCAAACTGGTTCAGCCACTATGGAAATGGTTTGGAGGTTCTTCAGAAAATGAAAAATAGAACTACCTTATGACCCAGCAATTCCACTTCTGGGTATTTATCCAAAGAAATCCAAAACACTACTTAAAAGGGATATGTGCATCCCTTGCTCATTGCAGCATTATTTACAATATCTAAGATATGGAAGCAACCTGGGTATCCATCAATGAATGAAGTAACAAAGAAGAGATGGTACATATATACAATGGAATATTACTCAGCTATAAAAATGAATAAAATCTTGCCAACTACAACAACATGGATGCACCTACAGGGTATTGTGCTGAGTTGAGTAAGTCAGACAGGGAAAGACAAATGCCATATGATCTCACTTATATGTGGAATGTAACGAACAAAATAAAAACAGACTCATAGATAAACATGTCGATGGTTGCCAGTTGGGAGGGGTGTAGGGGGTGGGTGAAAAAGTGGAAGGAATTAAAAAGTACAGATTGATAGTTACAAAATAGTCACGAGGATGTAAAGCACAGCATAAAGAATATCGTCAATAATATTGTAATAACTATGTATGGTGTCAGATGGGTACTAGATTTATCAGGGTGATCACTTTGTAAGTTATATAAATGTCTAATCACTCTGTTGACACTAATATAATATTGTATGTCAACTGTAATTGAAAAATAAAAACATATATTAAAACACCAATAAAGTGTGTATCTCTATGAGGCACATGTCTGCCTTATGTGGTTTCCATTCATTATCTGTTAAAGCAACAGTTTTGCTGTGACATTAATATCAAAGCCAATGCAGACCACTGCTAACTCCTGTGAGGAAACTGAAGGCTCACATAGTAGTGCTGCCAACATCTGATAAGCTGATATTCTCGAGGGTACACCTGTGCTCAACATTGCTGACGTGGCATGAAGACTCCCCAAGACTGGAAAACTAAGCACACAATGGTTCCCTCCTGTTCAGCCAAAAAACAAACAAACAAACAAAAAACATTTGCCTTCACCAAAACTATCTTCAGGGTCATGAAATAATAGAAGAAACTTTGGAAACAACCAGAACCTGAAAGGTAGCATCTTATTGACTGTCTCATTGCTTATAAATAAAATATGAAGGGCATTTGGATTTTGTATTTAGAAAGACTCCACATATGCCTCTATATATGCTATATACTGACAACCACACAGGATTCTTGAATTCTCATTAGCAATGCATTCAGTATCACAGAAAGACACCCAAGTACATATAAAGGTCAAGATAAACCCTTGAGGAATTCTACAAGGTTGCCAGACTAGTCAGTTCATACAAAATCAAATAATATTTACCTAATGAATACTTCACCTATAACTCATATCCTTTTGAATGTTTTTGCATCTATTTGACCTAAAAATTAAATTAAATGAAAAGTTTAAAAAGAACAATATCAAAATCGAAGAAAAGTCTTTAGTTAAACTGCCAAAAATCCTTTGCAGGTGTTTGCAAGTAATTAAAATATGTAAAGACCAGAGCCAGCCAAGTGGCTCATTGGTTAAGAGTTGACTTGAGACGCCAACTCTGAGCAGCAGGGTCCCGGTTCGGATCCCAGATGAGGGCCAGTGACTCTGCACCCTCTACAGCTAAGATGGTGAACAACAGCTCAACCTGGAGCTGGGCTGTCGTGAATCGCCGGGGACGGCCTAGGCTGCAGTGGGGCTGGCCAGCAGCTAGCGTGCGCTTTTGTAAGCTGCCATGAGCAGCTGTCCAACGGCTGGTGAGTGACTGCCTCACCTGGGAAGAGCGCAATGATAATACCAACATGGGCCAGGGAAACGACGTCCTCCATAACTAGACTGAAGAACAAAAAGGACAGCAACTTGGAGCTGGCCAAGTGGCTCAGTTGGTTAAGAGCTCGCTCAAGAGTGCGAGCTCTAAGCAACAGCCGTTTGACTCCCGGCCCCAGCTGAGCTGCCACTGAGCTGCCAACAGGTGGCAGGATGACTCAGCTAAAATAAATAAATAAATAAATAAATAAATAAATAAATAAATAAGAACAGCAGCTTGTCTGTTCCCCTTCCCTGATTCCCCAACGCTGTTCCCATCCCCCAATTCCCCAATAAAATCTTTAAAAAAAAAATAATGTAAAGACCAAAAAAATACAAAACAATTCTGCCAACAATAAAATAAGTTAACAGTTACAAGAAACACAAACATAATTTACCTAAGGTAAAATTATTTAATTCTTAAAAGTGAAAAAAAAAGTAGGTTAAGAAACAAAAAGAGATAACTAAAAGGTTAGGGGAAACTGGCTGTAGGTAAATAATTCTAGACTTATTTCCAAGTAGCCATACACAAGCTCTCTAAAATGCCTCCAGGATTAAATTAATAAAGATGATATTTAGATGTATGAGACAAACAAGAAAAGCATGACTATCTGGCAATAGATTATTTTGTTTAGTCAGATTTATTAAGGTATAAATTACATAGAGTGGAATCCATCCTTTTTGTATACAGTTCTATGTTTTGACAAATACATAAAGTTGTGTAATCATGACTATAATCAAGATATAAAATAGTTCCAACAACCCTAAAACATACTCATGCCACTTTGCAGTCAATGACTCCCTCTAATCCCAGACCCTGGCAACCACTGATTTGTTCTCTACCTCTATAATTTTGCGTTTTCCAGAATATCATATAAATGGAATCAATATAGTATATGTAGCCTTTTAACTCTGGCTTCTTTCAAATGCATTTGAGATTGATCTGTGTTCTTCCATGAATCACTAATTCATTCCTCTTCATTGCTCAGTAGTACTCTGCTGTATAGATGAACCATAGTTTATTTATCTATTCCCCAGTTAAAGGAAATTTGGGTTGCTTCTAGTTCCTGGTGATTATGAATATGAAGCAACTATAGACATTTGCATGTAGGTTTTTGTGGGTTCACAATAGGACAGATGGGTAGTATGGTGTATGTTTCACTTGGAACAGCCATAATTGTCACACTTAGTAAAAAATCTCTTTAACAATTTACATAGTGTTACATAGTTCAGAATCTACTTCCTTGTTTTAACTTCAAAACAATGCTATAACAGTTATTATTATTATTACTATTTTTATTTGTGGTATTATAAGATATATTCATCATCATCATTATTATTATTATTATTATTATTATTATTATTGCATTTAATTTTATGGCAGTAAACAAGAAAGAGAAATATGTTTTAATTCAGTAAAAAAAAGAACTGAAGAGCTATCAGGCTGGAGAAGAGCTATGTTTTAAGTGTTAAACATAACTTAACCTAGTTCTAGCACACGTTTTAAATCAATGCAAAACAGTATTATTTTCATTTGATCCATACAATAAACCTAAGGAGTAGGTAGTAAAGGCATCATTTGTCAGATGATGAAAATGAGGCTCACTGAAATGACTTGTTCAAGAACACAGAGCTAGTAAGTTGAAGAGTCAATATAAGAACCCAGGGTTTTTTTCTTATTTTTTTCCCCCCCACCTCATGCTAAGGAGACAAAATCCAGAAGTTAAGAGTAGAATTTAAAGCCAGGGAGGTCAGAGCTACACAATGTAACTTGAAAGTCAATTCCCAACTTCTTGATAGGATAAAACCCAAATGAATTAAATTCATGGCATACCCACATTTTCTAGAATGTACCTAAATTATAAAGTAAAGGATATACACATATTTATACTGCCCAAAATTAACCTGGTATTGTAAACATTCAAAGTAAATTACATAAACCTTCTCATATTGATAATCAAACATCGACAAAGCTGGTAGACTACATTGGTCATTTAATATAAGATTATACAGCAGCTAACAAATAATATATATAAGTATCATAAAATTTAATAAATATAATTAAACTTCAGTAAGGGAAGCCCAAGGAACCTCATGTTAATCTCACCTAACGCTTTATATATCTAGCAAGATATAAACTCAAGTATACTTTCTTACCATAATATTGTAGTTGACATTAATGGTCTCATCTTCAGAGGGGGCATTCATTCCAACAGGTTTAACATCACTCTTTCTTTTCCTTACAACATCATAGATGGGATTTCGAGGTTGCTGGTTTTGTAGGATTTTTTTCAATTGCTTTTCCAGAAGTTGTGGAGCATTGTTAACTACTTCAAAAACTCCATAATCCACATTAAATCTAACTGCCTCTGAAAAGGTCTGCAAAATAAATTGTGGAAATATGTTCTTAAATTTTTAAAAACCAGAAACTCACTGTCTCCAGAGGTCTTGATACTTACACATATGCGCATATATATATATATATATATATATATATATATATATATATACACACACACACACACACACACACAAAGTTTCTTGTTTTTAATCATTACCTCTTCCCTTTAGGAGCTTAGAAATCTGTTGACTGCAGGTAAGGGAACCCACTGATCCGTCCTTCCCAATTTACTTTTGCCATGAAATAAGTGTTGGGGTATATTACAGCAAAAATTCCCTTTGCATAAACATCTTACCTCTGTGCTTCTTTGGAACTGGAAAGAAATACACACCTGGTCTCTATAAAGCAATGTTATTCTCTTAGAAGGGGGTGGATTACTAGGGAAGAACAAGTAAAAGAAGAAGAAATAACACTCCTCTTGTCTTTTCACCCCCAGGGGACATGAAAGCTAAAGTCTCCCTTGTCCAAAAGGAGAAAATTAAGTACAGTGTGTTCTTCATTTAAGACTATTTCAGTACCATTCCTCTCACTGTGATGAAAAAAAAAAGTGAAAGATAATAACATTTCTGAGCTTTTCTCAGTAATTACTAAATGGTGCCAACTTTTATTTAAAGTCATTCAGTTAACATACAAATCAGGAGTCTTGAGTTTGTCAGCTTGCCAATAAGAAGCACTATGACTTTGGGTAAATCATTGAACATGTTTGGGGCCTCCATTTCCATAACAAGTAAAGGATGAATTGGCTGTGTCTTTTCCATTTTGCCTTCCAAATCTAAAATTAGGTCCCTTAATCAGAACATTAATTTATTTTACAATACCTTCAGTGAACTATCTATTCATGTAGTTTATATTATATATTTTTAACCAGATGGTAAAAGACATTAAGCTCTTCCCCTTGGATCAGTCACTATCCTAAGGACAGCATCAGTTCTCTCAAGTTTTACTATGAAATTGCTAGATACGAGGTGTGATCAAACAACACGGTGAATGTATAAATTAAAAAATATATATTACAGGGCCTGCCGAGTGGCGCGTTGGTTAAGAACTGGCTTGGGACACCAGAGGGCCCCGGTTCGGATCCCACATATGAGGGCCAGTGACACTGCCCTCCACAGCTAAGATGCTGAACAACAGCTCAACCTGGAGCTGGACTGCCGTGAGTCGCCGGCGACAGCGTAGGCTGCAGCCCCTGTGGCAGTGGGTTGCCATGGGCTACCGTGTGTAGCCAGCAGCCAGCGTGAGCGGCCAGCAGCCGCAGTGAGCGGCCGTCCAGAAGCCGGCGACTGATCTGCCTCGCCCGGGAAGAGCGCAATGATGGTGCCAACTTGGTCCAGTGAAGCAACGTCCTCTACAACTAGACTGAAGAACAAAAGGACAACAACTTGTCTGTTCCCCTTCCCCCAATTCCCCAGTGCTGTTCCCATCCCCCAATTCCCCAATAAAAATATAAATATATATATATTACAGTAAAAGACACATTGCCCTTAATCCCCCTCAAAATACTTCCCCTTACTTCGAACACACTTGTCTCATCATTCTTGCCACTTTCTGAAGCAGTTCTAGAAGTCCTCTTTCGTGAGTGTCTTTAGTTGCACTGTCATTGCTGCCTCGATGTTCTGAATCATTATGACTTTGGAAAAGAGCCAGAAGTTGCATGGTGCCAGACCTGGTGAATAAGGTGGATAAGGACATGCCTTATCCACTTTAAGGACAGTGTTTTTACTTGACAGAAATTGCTGTATAAGAGAAGTAATGTGTGACATGGAGCCTTTCCTTTGTGATCACAAAAGATGGAGAATGCTGCTGCCCAGTGCCATTCAACGGAAAGACAGGGATCTTCAATACGGGGAGCAGCATGTTGAACCTTAGCAACAGTGTGTGACAAGTTTCAACTTGTTCAGTGCAGTCAGTCAGGTGTGAGCTACGGTTGAGAGAAGGTGTTGTTTTTTTTAAATGTGCCATAAATCATCCTCCATCGTGACAACACTCCATGTCACAAATTGCTTCTGGTATACGGAAATTTCTGTCAAATAAAAACATTTTGGTGTGTCCTCATCTACCTTATTCACTGGCACTATGCAATTCTGGCTCTTCCCCAAAGTCAAAAAGGCCATCAAAGGTAAACTATTTGAATCGATTCAGACCATTGAGGCAGTCATGACAGGGCAACTAAAGACACTCATGAAAGAGGACTTCTAGAACTGCTTCAGAAAGTGGCAAGAATGATGAGATAAGTGTGTTTGAAGTGAGGGGGAGTGTTTTGAGGGAGATTAATGGAATGTGTCTTGTACTCTAATAAAAAATTTATACATTTGCCATATTGTTTGATCACACCTTGTATACTATATAGGTAAAATATAATGAATGGCAGGATGTTGTAAAGTTGGAGTTACACATATAAATATATATTTTTAAATACCCATATGTGTGTTTGTTTATTTATTTATTTTAATGTCAGATAATATCACATCTCTAAAGGCTGACTGACTCTCCTACGGAATTTAAAGTGCACAGACAAGAGTTCAATATAAATGTCAGTCCACAGCTCAAAAGACCTCAGGACTAAAACTTCCCCTCAAAATGACAAGTATAGCTCAATGGATAAATGACAATAATTAGCAGTAAATTGTGTACAAGATCTCTTCAATAAATATATTTCATTAGTTGCCCACTGTAGTTGTCTTCAAAACATGAGATTCAAAGAGGCATCACTTGCCAAAAAGTCAAATATTGTCTCTGAATTATACTATCACTATACTAAACAGATAAATGAGTCCACTGATATCAGAGACCAGATTCATATGGTTGGAGAAATTAACTGAACTAAACTGGGTAGACAATGAACATCAAATGTTAACTGGGGTTGAGGAAATGGAGCAGTATAATATGAAAGACCATTTGGAGAAGATTTCTTCTAGTTCTGAGTATCCATGGAAAAAGAGAACAAGCTTGATCTTTATTTATTGTTTTCCTTTCTTTTTTCTGCCTTCTACCCTCACACCTGGTAGACAGAGGAAGACAAAGCTGTGATAATCCAAAGCAAAGAATGCCAATTAGTTCTATGTACAAATAAAATATTTCCTGTTAATCAAGTAAAAAAAAAAATTAGAGAGACTGCGACACTGAGAACCTCAGTAGCCAATATTAATTAGTAATAAATAGTTAAGACACAGTTGGTAGAAATAACAGGAGTGATCAGAACTACTGTTTACTAAACATCTATCTACCATGTGCCAGGAATGGCCAGACATGTGCCAGACACTTTAGATGCACTGTCTTGAATCCTTCCACATTCCTGAGATACATCTTTACAGAAAATGGATGCTCAGGATGGTTATGTGATAGACCATGGACTCAGAGCTCTAAGGTGCTAGATGAAAGCTATAGAAACAAGTCTATCTGTTCCACAAAAAAAAAGCACATTTCCCCTTCTTTACTATATTGCCTCACATATGATAGAACTAGCATGTTCTGACCACCTTCTCTATGCCAGGCACTATGCTAAGTAACAACCCCAAGGTGTTTTGATCCCAAAGTCTGTGCTCTGGTTTTACCAGTAAAGAGAGAGGCATGACGCAGCAGGATATGTGTGGGTAATTTTAAGCAGTTCAATGCAGTTGAAATAGAACTAGAATAATTTATAAGTAGAAGAGCTTAAGGAACAGAGAGAAAAGACGATGTAAATGAGGTAGATACGACCAGATCATAGAACGCTTTACACGCCATTTGAAGGATTAAGGTAGTCTGATTTGTATTTTAGGAAGATTCTCCTAGTACCAGTCTGGATTTTTGCTTGCTGGCTCATGAGCTGGTGAGATAGATTGCCCATACCCCACAAGCAAAGCCATCACCACGCTCTCGGGACGTTAGCTGTTACCCCAGAGCTACTGCTATCACAACCAGGTTTAGTGTGGTAATTATCAACTCTCTGGATGGGTTACTGTCCCCCTCACACATAAGGGCCAGGGCAAGTTTTAAGGCAGATAAGTAGCAGTTACTTTTATTTTCAACTTACAAATGACAACTGCAGCTGAGAAAGGTTAAACGAGTTTTCATGGATTTAGAGCAAGTCCCCTAATGAGCTTACTACAGAACTCTGGACTCATGACTCCAAAACTGCTTTAAACTTAGAGTTGACACATAATTTCAGTGAGGCTTTCAGTGGATGCTGCAGATTGGCTCACTCACGATCCATTCCAACCTCCTTAAATGCAAAGTCTGGACAACTAAACACTCTGTTACTCAGACTCCCTTGGAGGTACAGTTTCACGTGTGATTTAGGTTCTGCTACTCATATGCACTCACAAAAATACTTGAATTCTGATCTGAGTTAAGTTGGAAAAGAGGCCGGGAATATCCACTCTTGGGAAGAAAATCTGAAGGATGTAAACACATGAAAATTAGTAGAGGAAATAGTCAAAAAGAAGTACTTTACCAAAAAAAAAAAAAGAAAGATAACAAAAGGAAAACTATAATTAATTGTGTTTATGATAAAATGACATGAAATGTTCCTATTTATAAAAAAGAAATGTAGCTATATGATACGTTAAAATATTTACAGTTTTTAAACTTAAGAATTTATCTGCATGTAATTAAAATGGGATAGAGTCTTTGCCAAGGATAAATAAGTGGTTTCCTATTTAAAAAGCCATGAGTTAGAGTAGATCTCTTACAGTCCTTAATAGCACTATGATTCTTAGTTTATAAAAGTGGCAAATAACTAATTCAAAGCTTCTCTCAGTTCACTTATTTCAAAAACAACAAAATTTTTGAATGCCCAAGTGCCAATTATTTTCTTAAGCAAAGAGGATACAAGATGAATTAAACATTGTTTCTGAAATAAGTACATGGTCATTAATTTTCCTTGTAATGAAGAGTCAACAAAACACTGAAATAAATTAAAATTAGTGTAGCATGCAAATGTTAAAGGGGAAATCTGTCCATATACACCATAGTAGCAATACTAGAATGTTATATG